TTCCTTCTCTGTTTTAGTCACTGATGCATTGGGATGAGGGATGTGCTAAATTCTCTTTCATTATCTCATTCTTCTGTTTATAATAGTTTATTGATACTAATATGTATAGCAGCAGTGTCTTCTCTAAAATTTGGTCATTAAATTAGCAGCTATTTATGATGCTTTTCATAACCTTTTCTCTTACAGTTTTCCATTGTAAGAGGACAGTTTTATTTTCAATGAGTAAACACTTTATATAAGAGACCCTTCTTTTCGAAGTCCAGATTTCTGTCTTCAGAATAAGGAGTAGCTGATAATGTGGCATAGCTCAGCTCCTAATTTAATGCCTCCACAGGCTAGGAGCCAGCACTTGGCCCCTGATTTGAAGAGTGCAGGTAGAGGTAGGAATCATAATGATGAGAAGTTCACCTCTTTTTTCTCTTTCTAACATATAAAAAATTAGTAAGCATCCCCCCAGTAGATACATACTCATAAAATATTAGTTACACCAATGTTAAATGCATTATAAAAATACATTAAAACATAAAGGATGAGCTTTTTAAAAAACAGAAGCTCTGTTATGTTCTTCCTGAGCCCCAAGGGATCATGTAACTTCTTCTTTGAGGAATCACTTCGCTCCTTTTTGGAGATCACTCTTCTAATTCTTTAGGCTTGTCTCAAGTCCCTCCTCTTGCTTGTTTGATTTCACTATTTTAACTGTACAACTGGATTGTAAACAACTTGAGATTAGAGACCAGATGGAGTCTTATCTTTGTATCCTGCAACAATGCCTAGCACAATTTCAAGTTCGTCATCATTATTCAGTATATACTTGTTGGTTAATTTCTTGGAATCATCTCAGAGCATTATTTCACTAATTATTACTAAAAAGGAAAAAAAAATCCTCAGTTTTATTTTAGTAATTCTGGGTATTATTCCTTAAGCTATTTATCTTCTAGGATTAAAGACAAGGGAGCCTATCTATACTTACAGTTTTGTGGGAATAGATGTATTATTGTCTGATGAAGTGGTTTAATTGGACATAATGAGAATGGTGCAGTATGAGAACCGAACCGGAATCAGCATCCACATCTGTTTTCATTCCTTGAGATTTTTGTTAATTGGTTCTTTATCAAATGACTGAATGCCAAAGCATAGTGTTTTCTTTTTTTTTTTTTTTTTTATTTACTTTATCAAGTTCATTTATGCCGACATTATTGATGCTCCCACCATTTCCAGGGTAGTATAAAGTACTACTTTGTATTTTATATTTTGTGGTCTCTGTTCTGTTCCTCCAAACCACCACTATGTTCTTGGATTCTACAAACCCTTCTAAATTTCTGAAATTAATTGTTCACAGTTAGGCTTAACAATTCTTCATAGTGATTGGTTCCATGAATCTCAAAGACTTAATATCATTACCTTGTTCTTACGGCATTTCTATTTTTTCATCTTTTCTTTCTGGGTAGAGAAACTAAACCTAGGCAAAGGCTGAGCATACTGGCTCATGCCTGTAGTCCCAGCACTGAGAGGCTGAGGCAGGAGGATCACTTGAGCCCAGAAGTTTGAGATCAGCTTAGGCAACATAGGGAGATTTGGTCTGTACAATAAAATTTTAAAAACTTTTAAAATTCATGGCACATGTATTTAGTCTCAGTTACTGGGAAGGCTAAAGCAGGAGGATGACTTAAGTCCAAGAGGTGGAGACTGTATTGAGCCGTTGATGGTGCCACTGCCCTTTAGCCTGGCAACAGAACAAGACTCCATCTCCAAATTAAATGAATGAATGACTGCAGAAATAAGACCCATTTATAGTCATCTGCAATCAAGAATCAAGATAGTAAAAGAGATGAAAAGCAAGCCCTGGTGCCCAGATTTGCACTTTGTGGGTTTTTTTTTTTTTTTTTTGAGACGGAGTTTTGCTCTTGTTGTCCAGGCTGGAGTGTAATGGCGTGATCTCAGCTCACCGCAACCTCTGCCTCCTGGGTTTAAGCAGTTATCCTGCCTCAGCCTCCAGAGTAGCTGGGATTACAGGCATGCACCATCATACCCTGCTAATTTTTGGTATTTTTAGTAGAGACGGGGTTTCTCCATGTTAGGCTGGTCTCAAACTCCTGACCTCAGGTAGTCTGCCCACCTTGGCCTCCCAAAGTGCTGGGATTACAGGTGTGAGCCACCATGCCCGGCCCAGATTTGTGCTTTGTATTTCCATGGATTATATCATTTCTTCATGAAAGGTACAGTAGTACCCTTTGCTTTCCAATGTAATTGACTAATTTCAGATCATAGCTGTTACAGATTCTGATTTAAAGGCTTTGAGATTTTTAATTTATTTGTTTGATAGATGTATCAGTCGTTTTTTCTTCATAACAGACACCCTAAAAATGTCATGGGCTTAAAATGACTTGGGCTTGTTTTTCTTGCCCATGGGTTGTTTGAGATGGCTTTGCTTCAGGCTGCAGGTTGAGGGTTAAGTTCAGGTCTGCTTCACATGTCTCTCCTTTTTGTACTACCATGGTCTCATGGGGAATGTCAAGGGTGCAGGCCAAACCACCCAGGCACATTTAAAAGCCTCTGCTCATATTGTGTCTCCTAAAACTCCATTGGCCCAAGCATGTCAGTGGCCTATATTACATTATGTTACATTAACAGTATTAGCAAGCACACAGTACTGCACCTCTTAGAAAGGAATGACATAATCCATGGAGACTCAATTAACTGCAAATGTGGACTCCAGTGCTTGTTTTTCATCTCTTTTGCCATCTTGACTTGCTCAAGGTCAGCAGAGCTGGGTGTATACTCAATTTATAGCAGGAGGCGGTACAGACTTTTAAAAGACAGAGGATCTGGATGTGAAATCCTATGCAAGTGAAAAATTGAGAGAAATAATTCAATCTCCCGCTATAGGGAAGCAAGCCATTAAAACAGTAATTTGCTAATATAGTCCTGTGGACTGTAAACATGACAGTACTTCTCTTTTTATGGGGAGCTTACATCTTATTTGACTACATTATTTTGAAAGTTCTCCAATGCTCTGAATTGAAGAATGCCGCTTTAATTAAAAATTGTTGTTTAGTAGAATAAGAGTAAGTAGAGAAGATTGTGATATTAATTGCCTTCCATGCCTTGTTTGAGAAAGAACTAGAATTGCTAATTGATTGGGAAAACTTAAAGGATAGATTTTAAAAGGATAGCATAGAAAACTGCCTAAGTCTTGTAAATATTAAGAGATATAAGTTAAACTTCAAATTAAGGTGGGGGAACAGAGTTAAGCTAGGTTAACTCAGTGTGGAAGCTGATTTCTGAGACTCAGAAAGACTCCTCAAAAAGGCACTAAAGTATCTGCTCTTAGACAAGTAGGGATAAAGTTCAGAAGTACTGTGTTATATAATATAATCTTAGGATTGCCTAGCAATCTAATTGAAGTCAATTTTAATATATGTTGTAAGTATAAATATGAGTTTGTATGTTGTTAATGCCTACTATATTCTGCAGTGGAGTTAATAGTTCCATAGGGAAAACCTTTTTCTTTTTGAAGTAATGCTGGGTATGTCTACTTGGATTGTTCTATTTTCTTTATTGCCTTATCTTTATCCTTGAATAAAAAACATCTTTTTATCTTTAAAATAGCATGTTTTACTACCTAAATTGATAATATTTAGGTGATTATGGGCACACAGGATTCACTTCATTTAGACAGGTTAGAATACTATGGAAACTCAAAGGAAGGTGCCTTTTTTTTTTTTTGAGATGGAGTCTCACTCTGTTGCCCAGGTTGAAGTGCAATGATGCAATCTCAGATTACTGTAACCTCCGCTTCCTGGGTTCAAGCAATTCTCCCACTTCAGCCTCATGAGCAGGTGGGACTTCAGGTGCATGCCACCATGCCCGGCTGATTTTTGTATTTACTAGAGACGGGGTTTCACCATGTTAGCCAGGGTAATCTTGAACTCCTGACCTCAAGTAATCTGCCCGCCTCAGCCTCCCAAAGTGCTGGGATTACAGGCGTGAACCACTGCATCTAACTAAGAAATGGTGCTTTATTACAGTGTGCTTTATTGCGGTTGTGCCTCCTTTGAAGACACAAACAAGGAAACTAAAGGAAAAGTGTATTGCAAAGCTATGTAATATTTTGTAAAACCTAGTCCACTCTTTTTTCTTTCATGGAATTCAAAGTTCATTTTATCCCTGGTATGTGTATCTGGCTTTACAAAACAAATGTATCCATAGGAATGTGTTTCTAAATGTTTTTAAAAACTTTGTTTTTAATTACAGAATCACAGGAAGTTTCAAAAACAATACCTAGAGGTCTTATGTACCTATCATGTAGCTTCCCCAATGGTGACATTAGGCCAATTTAAAAATCATTGATAGGGGCTGGGCACAGTAATTCACACCTGTAATCCCAGCTGTTTGGGAAGCTGAGGTGGGTGGATCACATGAACCCAGAGTTTGACACCAGCTTGGGCAACATGGTGAAACTCCATCTCTATAAATAATGCCAAAAACAGCTGGGCGTGGTGGCATTGTGCCTGTAGTCCTAACTACTCGGGAGGCCGAGGCCAGAGGATCACCTGAGCCTCGGAGGTTGAGGCTGCAGTGAGTGATGATTGCACCACTGCATGGCAGCCTGAGTGACAGAATGAGACCCTATCCCTCCCCGCCAAAAAAAAAAATTGAGGTACCATCTGTGCATTCTTTAATAAAACTGAATTATTAAGTGTCCTGTAGGGATCCTTATGTCATTGTTGCTTTATTTATTGCTTTAGCACATTCTGCTCCATTCTCCCCATCTTCACATTGCACCATTGATTGGGAGGGGATTAAGTTTCATGTACTTTTCTGGTACATTTTTCCCCAACAGCCTGAAAGATATGCAAGCTCCATTTTACTGCTTACATTGAAGAAACATTTGGTTGAATATTCAGATTTCTTGTTTTGAGTTTATTTTGGTGGTGTTTGAAAACTTGAAAGGTTCTATATATTTTTTTTACATCATCTCTCTCTTTTTTTTTTTCTAGCCTGAAAATGAAATTTCTTCAGACTGCAATCATGTAAGTATGGATTTTCTGTGATACACCATATGTGCTTTATCGACAGATTTCGGGCTGCTCTTCCTCTTGTTCTGGGAAGTGCTATGTTTTCTTACAGTCTCTTAATCTTAAAAGGAAAACAAACTTTAAGGACCTTGGTAAAGTCAACAAATAATCCTTCATTTTAGAAGCCTGCAGTTTCTCCCAAATAATATTTATGTACTTAAAGTTATATTTTTCTTCAGTTACAGCTACTGTGTGAAAATAATTATCTGCTTATCAAGTCTACAACTTAGAATTTCCTATTTTAAAGCTCTCTCATTTAGTTATCACACAGTCATCTTCTATTTGCCAGACACTATGGTAGCACATTAAAAGGAGACTGATGTGAAATCAAGTCTGTGCAAAAAGTATTGAGTGCTTTGGTAGAAGTTTATACAGAAGACATTGGAGACACAAAAATCAATTCTGTCCAGGTGAGTTGATGTCAGGAAAGGCTTAATAATGGACATGAGGCCAGGCGTGGTGGCTCACACCTGTAATTCCTGCTCTTTGGGAGGCTGAGGCAGGTGGATCACTTGAGACCAGGAGTTTGAGAACAACCCAGCCAATATGGTGAAACCACATCTCCACTAAAAAATAAAAATTAGCTGGGCGTGGTGGTGCATGCCTGTAATCCCAGCTACTCCCGAGGCTGAGGCAGGAGAATTGTTTGAAGCCAGGAGGCAGAGGTTTCAGTGAGCCAAGATGGTGCCACTGCACTCCAGCCCAGGCAACAGAGCAAGACTCTGTCATTCATTCATTCATTCATAAATAAATAAATGAGATAACACTTCATCTGGTTCTTAGAAGAGGCATACGTATATATGTGGCTAAAGTCACTCTATCACATTGTAGAAGGTAGATTGGACTGGAGGCTATATAAGCAGAGACAGATGGGCTGTTTAGATTACTACTTATTCGTGTTTTTTTTTTGAGACAGAGTTTCACTCTTGATGCCCAGGCTGGAATGCAGTGGTGCAGTCTCGGCTTACCATAACTTGTATCTCCTGGGTTCGAGCTGTTCTCCTGCCTAAGCCTCTTGAGTAGCTGGGATCATAGGCTTGTGCTGCCCTGCCTGGCTAATTTTGTATTTTTAGAAGAGGTGGGGTTTCTCCATGTTGGTCAGGGTGATCTCAAACTCCTGACCTCAGGTGATTCTCCCAAAGTTCTGGGGTTACAGTTGTGAGCCACCATGCCCATCCTAGGTTACTACTTATTCTAATGAAAACCTAGGTAAATCAGATATTTGAAGTACAAAATAAAACCAGAAGAGTAGTAGAAGAATAAAGGGAAGGCTTTTCTAAACATGAAACAACCCCAAAAGATGTTTTAAAAATATGTTTCTGCATCTGTATCTCATTACAGTAAAAGCTTTATTCCCAAAAAAAATGCTTTGTAAAACTGTATTTGCAATGCAGATGAAAAGGACTATATTTGTTTTTTTTGTGTTTTTTTTTTTGAGACGGAGTTTCGCTCTCACTACCCAGGCTGGAGTGCAATGGCGCGATCTCAGCTCACCGCAACCTCCGCCTCCTGGGTTCAGGCAATTCTCCTGCCTCAGCCTCCTGAGTAGCTGGGATTACAGGCACGTGCCACCATGCCCAGCTAATTTTTTGTATTTTTAGTAGAGACTGGTTTCACCATGTTGACCAGGACGGTCTCGATCTCTTGACCTTGTGTTCCACCCGCCTTGGCCTCCCAAAGTGCTGGGATTACAGGCGTGAGCCACCATGCCCGGCCGAAAATGACTATATTTGTTAATCGAAAGTGGTATTAATAAACATAACAGATATGAATAGACTGTTCACAGGCAAACAAATAGATGTCGAATAAACAATAAAAAGTTTATTCTCGGCCAGGTGCAATGGCTTACACCTGTAATCTCAGCACTTTGGGAGGCCTAGACGAGTGGATCACCTGAGGTCAGGAGTTCGAGACCAGCCTGGCCAACATGGTAAAACCTGTTTCTACTAAAAATACAAACAATGAGCTGGGCATGCCTGTAATCTCAGCTACTCGGGAGGCTGAGGTGGGAGAATCGCTTGAACCCAGGACGCAGAAGTTGCAGTGAGCCAAAATTACACCATCTCACTCCAGCTTAAGCTATAAGAGTGAAACTCTGTCTAAAAAAAATGTATTCTGCCTTATAATCAAAAACAAAAATTTAACAAAAAGCTAGTATACTGTTGTCATCCGCTTTGAAAAATGATGCACACCTGTAGTCCCAACTGTAGTTCCAACTGACCCTTGAGCCTGGAGTTCAAGGCAGCAGTGACCTATGACTGCAATACTGCACTGCAGCCTGGGTAACAAAGTGAGACCCCTGTCTCTTAATAAGAAAAAAAAAAGGATAAATATACAGTATCGATAAGGATGTGTGTATTTAAGCATTCTCTAACCTGTAGATCAACAAACCACAGCACATGGGCCAAATCCAGTCTACTCTTTGTTTTTATACATAAAGTTTTATTGACACAGCCACACCATTTATTCATGTATTGCCAGTGGCTGCTTTTCACACTAGGATGGCAAAGTTGACTAATTGCAACAGAGACTATAGGTCCCTCTAAACCTTTACTTTCTGGCCCTCTGCAGAAGTTGTTTGCTGAACCCTGTTCAAGCCTATGGATGGGAATATAAACAAGCTATAAAACAGTCAACCTAAAATGCATATGTTTTGACCCAGCATTTCTACGTCTATGAACTTTGTGGATAATTATGCTTAAAAGAATGGACAGGGATGTGACTGTAAAAGGATATTAGTTGTGGCATTATTTATAAAGCAAAAGATGAGGGGAAAACCTCAAAAATCCATTCATAGACTGAATCGGACAGAAGAGAAACCCAGAAAAAAGTTGATTTATGCATTAAATTCTCAAACAGCCAGCCAGACGTGGTGGCCCATGCCTGTAATCCCAGCACTTGAGAGGCTACGGTAGGCGGATCACTTGAGGTCGGGAGTTTGAGACCAGCCTGGCCAACATGGTGAAACCCCTCTCTACTAAAAATACAAAAATTAGCCAGGAGTAGTGGAGCACCCCTGTAATCCCAGCTACACAGGAGTCTGAAACAGGAGAATTGCTTGGACCAGGGAGGTGGAAGTTGCAGTGAGCTGAGATCATGCCACTGTACCCCAGCCTAGGTGACAGAGTAAAACTCCATCTCAAAAAAAAAAACTCAAAGAGCTGAGGAATAGGAAGGATATAATCCTGCTGAAAAGGGGTACAAATAGTATCCATAAAACTGGAGACTTGCCCCGCCCGCCCGCCATCCCCCGCTTGCCTTCCAGTGCTGCTTGCGCTCGGTAGCGCTGACTCTGCCGGCGCTGAGGGCGGCGGTGCACCAGCCCACCTGCGATGGAACTATGAAATGGACCAATTTTGACAAGATGAATCTGCACCATTTTCCTTTGGAGTTACTAAAAGATGAGGGACTGCAGTACTTGGAGAGACTCTATATGAAAAGGAACTCCCTGACAACCTTGCCAGAAAACCTTGCTCAGAAGCTTCCAAACCTTGTGGAACTATACCTGCACTCAAATAACATAGTTGTGGTACCGGAAGCCATTGGGTCCCTTGTAAAACTCCAATGTCTGGATCTTAGTGACAGTGCCTTAGAAATCGTTTGCCCAGAAATTGGTCGTCTGCGAGCTTTACGTCATCTTCGATTAGCTAATAACCAGCTGCAATTCCTACCTCCAGAGGTTGGCGATTTGAAGGAGCTGCAGACACTAGACATTTCTACCAATCGTTTGCTAACTTTACCCGAGAGGCTTCACATGTGCCTTTCTCTGCAGTACCTCACTGTGGACCGAAATCGTCTATGGTATGTGCCGTGCCATCTCTGCCAGCTGTCCAGCCTCAATGAGCTCTCCATGGCTGGAAACTGTCTTGCATTTTTGCCACTTGATTTAGGTTGATCTCGAGAACTACAATATGTGTACGTGGATAACAACATAAACCTGAAAGGCTTGCCATCCTATCTGTAAATAAAGTCATCGGGTGCAGTGGCTATGGTGCTCCCATTCAAGTTTCCGAGGTGAAGCTGCTTTCGTTTTCATCAGGGCCTCGAACCGTTTTCCTCCCAGCCGAGGTGAAGGCCATAGGGACAGAGCATGATCACATCCTCCCTCTGCAGGAAGTGGCCATGAGAAGTCTGTATCATACCTACCACAGCTTTCTGAAAGATTTGAACTTTCTGTCTCCAATCTCATTACCCAGAAGTCTCCTGGAGCTGCTGCACTGCCCTCTGGGGCACTGTCATCGGTGTAGTGAGCCTATGTTTACCATCGTCTACCCCAAGCTCTTTCCCTTGAGAGAGACGCCAATGGCAGGGCTGCACCAGGGGAGGACAACTGTTAGTTTTGTGGCTTACTGCTGCTCCACCCAGTGTCTGCAGACTTTTGACCTGCTGAGTTGATAAACACCCAGGAGCCTCAGGAGCACTGCCAGCTTGATGCTGGGGAATCTGGCCAGTCCAGAACAGACTCTTCCATCCTGTCCTGTCCAAGGCAGGGCACTGTGGAACTCTCTGGAAATGTCAAGATTGGGCTTCAGAGCTAAAATGCCTCACCCTTCCCCCAAGTTGGAATATATCCCCCCCCCCAAAAAAAAAAAAAACTGGAGACTTGGTTGAAGGTTTATGTAATATGTAAGAAGCAGTCAGGACTCTTTAGAGAACAATTATATAACCCAGAAATTCTTTTTTTTTTTTTTATAAAGACAGAGTCTCACTCTGTCCCCCAGACTGGAGTACAGTGGTACGATCTCAGCTCACTGTAACCTCTATCTCCTGGGTTCAAGCAATCCTCCTGCCTCCGCCTCCTGATTAGCCAAGATTACAGGCATGCGCCACCATACCTGGCTAATTTTTGTATATTTAGTAGAGACGGAGTTTCACCATGTTGGTCAGACTAGTCTTGAACTCCTGACCTCGTGATCCGCCTGCCTCAGCCTTCCAGAGTGCTGGGATTACAAGTGTGAGCCACCGCACCTGGCCCAGAAATTCTATACTATAGCATTCGTAATGTCCAGCATGCTATCAGAAATGGCTGGATATGAGATGAAGCAGGAAGATATGATTGATAATCAAGAGATAAAGTAGCCAATAGAGATTCAGAGAAGAGATAGTTCGTATATTGGAATTAATAACAACAGACAAGGACCTCAAATAGCTAATAAAGTAGAGAAAAATAAAATATTTTTTTATAAATAAAATAGAGGAAAATTGTAGAGGGAAGATAGAATGGGATAGAAGCAATCTTTGAAGAAATAATGTCCAAGATATTTTTCCAAATCGAGTGAGAGGCATTAACCCACAAATTCAGCAAACTTAGTGAACTTCAAGAGAGATCCATCCATGCTTAGACAATTTTTTTTTGAGATGAAGTCTCACTCTGTTGCTCAGGCTGGAGTGCAGTGGCACGATCTCGGCTCACTGCAACCTCCGCCTCCCAGGTTCAAGCAATTATCCTGCTTCACCCTCCTGAGAAGCTGCGATTACAGGCACCCACCACCATGCCCAGCCAGTTTTAGTCTTTTTGGTAGGGATAGGATTACACCACATTGGTCAGGCTGGTCTTGAACTGTTGACCTCAGTTGATCCACCCCCCTCAACTTCCCAAAGTGCTGAGATTATAAGTGTGAGCCACCATGCCCAGCCTAGACACATTAACAATCTGCCAAAATGAAAAGATAAAAGAAAATCCAACAAGCAGGCAGAGAAAAAGAGACATTCTCTTGAGGAAGAAAAATGACAGCTGACTTCTCAACAAAGCAGTAGAAACTAGAGGACAATTGAAACAACAAATGTGGAAGGTTGAGAGAAAATGCCAACATAGAATTCTATACCCAGCAAAAAATGTACCTTTAAAAAATGAAAATAGGCCAGGCACTGTGGCTCATGCCTGTAATTGGAGCATTTTGGGAGGACGAGGAGGGCAGATTGCCTGAGGCCAGGAGTTGAAGACCAGCCTGGCCAACATGGTGAAATCCCTCTCTACTAAAAATACAAAAAGTTAACCAGGCATGGTGTGTGCCTCTGAAATCCCACTATTTGGGAGGCTGAGGCACGAGAATCACTTGAACCAGGGAGGCAGAGGTTGCAGTGAGCTGAGATCCCGCCACTGCACTCACCTTTGGCCAACAGAATCAGACTCTGTCTCAAAAACAAAATAAAACAAAAATAAGGCCAGGCGCTGTGGCTCACGCCTGTAATCCCAGCAATTTGGGAGGCTGAGGCAGGTACATCACGAGGTTAGGCGTTTGAGACCAGCCTGGCCAATATGATGAAACCCCGTCTCTACTAAAAATACAAAAATTAGCTGGGCGTGGTGGCACACACCTGTAGTCCCAGTTACTTGGGAGGCTGAGGCAGGAGAATCGCTTGAATCCAGGAGCAGAGGATGCAGTGAACTGAGATCACGCCACTGAACTCCAGCCTGGGTGACAGAGCGAAACTCCATCTCAAAATAAACATATCCATAAATACCTGGTTCAAGTTACTCACGTGCCTCGGCCTCCCAAATAGTGGGATTTCAGACGCACACCAGTACACCTGGTTAACTTTTTGTATTTTTAGTAGAGAGGTTTCACCATGTTGGCCAGGCTGGTATTCAACTATGTATCTATTTACTTATGTATTTTGCCAGACAACCAAAAGCTGAGAATATTCATTTCCCACATTCCCATGCTATGAGAAATCCTAAAGTCTTGAAGCTGAAAGGATTACAAATTCAAACAGAAATAGCAGCACTAGAAGAGAGAAATAATTGATACATATGACTATTATTATTTCATTCTTTAAGAGAACTGACTTGGCTGTGCATGGTGGCTGATGCCTGTAATCTCAGCACTTTGGGAGGCCAAGGTAGGCGGATCACCTGAGGTCAGGAGTTCAAGACCAGCCTGGCCAACATGGTGAAACCCCATCTCTACTAAAAATACAAAAAATAGCCAGGCATGGTGGTGCACACCTGTAATCCCAGCTACTCGAAGGCTGAGGCAGGCCAATCACTTGAACCCAGGAGGCAGAGGTTGCAGTGAACCTGAACAAAAAGAGTGAAACTCTGTCTCAAAAAAAAAAAAAAGAAAAGGAATAAGAATAGAATTTTACTTTGGAATATTCTTATATTGTATATTAAGTAGCATAATATCAATTCAGTTTGGACTGTGACCAAGTTAAGGATGCATAATCAAGATACAGATTTGTTTAACGTGATGATTGTTCAGTTCATGATACTTAGCCATCATGACTTAAAAGTTTATAGAACTTTATCCAAAACACAAAATATTCCCTGTGACATTATTGTTTTAGGCAAATTTCCATGGAGTGACTTACTCAGCACTAGTCGGACTATCACTTGGAACAAATGTGAATTCTGCCTCATAGTTATGAGTAATCAAAAGGAGTGATAGCAGGGAGTGATAAAGAAGCATCTTTTGTTTCTCTTCAGTGTCTTGAACATACAGTATTTCTCCATGTCAAAAAGTGGTTTTTGGTATTGGTTTTGTTTTTTTGAGACAGGGTTTTGGTCTGTCACCCAGGCTGGAGTGTAGTGGCATGATCACAGCTCATGGCACCCTCAACCCCCTGAGTAGTTTGTAGCCCAAGTGATCCTCCCACCTCAGCCCCCTGAGTAGTTTGGACTACAAGTACATACCACCATGCCTGGCTAATTTGTGTGTGTGTTTTTTTGTTTTTGTTTGTTTGTTTGTTTGATATGAGGTTTCACCATGTTACCCAGGCTGACCTCTAACTCCTGGGCTCGAGCAATCCACCCTCCTTAGCCTCCCAAAGTGTTTAGGACTACAGGTGTAAGCTGCTATACCGAGCCAACATGGTGAAACCCCCGTTTCACCGTGTGAAACCCCTGTATTTTTTAAATCTCAAAGATTCTTCTACAGGTAATATCATGAATTTTTCCACGTCAGGAGTTGGTTCTAAGTACCAAAGTTCTAAGGAAAAGAATTATAAAATATGTCTTCATACTGATATTGAATGCTTGTCTTATAGTCAGTCCTCTGATTTTACATTACTTTCTGGGGAATGATTCCCTCATACCCTCTCTTTTACCAGCCATCACCAACTCTCAAGTCTTCTCTCTCTCCTTCGGAGAGTGCAATGAACTTTCATTGTGTTATAGTTAATGTACAATTTATATTTTACATTAAAATTGTTGTTTGTTATTTATATACTATTTTCATTTTTCAGTTGATATTTCTGTCTCTGAAAATTGTGTGGGTATCTGACAAACCTGAATAACTTCTATTTATTTTATTTATTTTGAGATGCAGGTCTTGCTCTGTGGTCCAGGCTGGTGTCCATCTCCTGGCCTTAAGTGAACTGCCTGCCTCAGCCTCCCAAAGTTCTGGGATTACAGGCATGAGCCACTGCGCCTGACCAGATAACTTGAGCTTCATCAAAATAGAAAACTTTTGTGCCAGACACTATCAAATAAGTTGATTGGCAACCTATACAGTGAGAGAAAATATTTACAAATTATGTGTTTGGTAAAGGATCTAGTTTTGAGATCATACAAAAATTCTTCCAACTCTAGAATAAAAAGCATATTTTAAAATGAGCAATGGATTTGAATAGGTATTTCTCAGAAGAAGACATACAGATGGCCAGTTGCACATGAAAAGATGCTCAACATCATTGTCATTAGGAAATGCATGCCTGGGTTGGGTTTAATGCCTTTAATCCCAGCAGTTTGGGAGGTTAATACCAGAGGATAGTTTGAGGCCAGGAGTTCAAGAGCAACCTGAGCAAGACCAACCTGGGCAACATACAGAGACCCCCATCTCTACAAAGAAGAATTTTAAAAATGGAGCCAGGCATGATGGTATGATCATGCCACACAGCCTGGGCAACAGAGTGAGTCCTTGTCTTTAAAAAACAAACAACGAAAGGAAATGCATATCCCAACCACAATGAGATATTACTTCACACTCATTAGTAAGGATGGCTGTAATCAAAAAGGTGGAGAATAACAAATGTTGGCGTGGTTCTAGAGAGATTGTTGTTGGAATGTCAAATAGTGTAGCCACTGTAGAAGACAGGTTAGCTGTTCTTCAGAAAGTTAGAGTTACTGTATGACCCATGAGTTCCACTGTTGGATATATATCCAAGAGAGTTGAAAACATGTGTTCACACAAAAATGTGTACATAAGTGTTCATAGCAGCATTATTGATAAAAGCTGAAAAGTGGAAACAGTCCAAATGTCCATTAACTGGCTAATGGAGAAATAAAACATGATATATCCATACAGTGAAATGTCACTTTGCAAAACATGATACATGTTACAACATGGATGAACCTCAAGAACTGGACTCAAAATATCACAAAAAGGACACAAAGAAGATTAGTGGTTTCCAGGGGCTTGGAGAAGTGGGGAATGGGAAGTGACTGCTAACAGGTAGAGTTTGTTTTGGGGAAATATTCTGGACCACTAGGTGATGATTGCACTCTGGAAGGAATGATGAGTTGTACTCTGGAAGGGTGAATTTTACAATGTGAATTCTGTCTCAACACAGTAGTATATAGTCAGCCCCCATGGAATCACCATACAGCTTCAGATATTCATTCAGATTGATACTGTG